ATGCTACCTTTATGAGCCCTAAATGCAAGCAAATGAGTCATAAGGGGAGAGGGGTGTCCCTCCCCTATACAAGACCTCAAAACCACTTCTCTACCACTGAAAATCTTCTAGATTTCAATGGTGAGAAGGCCAAAACAAAAGGGTTACAAAGCCCAAAGAGGAAGGCACAAAAAGAGACCAAACAAGGCCTAAGAGGGAGTGGACGACCCCCAACACAAAAGTGACCTTAATGAAACATCTTAAGCATGAAAATACAGAACTTTTATCAGTTATACACTAAGCTCGAAACAATATGCAAATAGGTCTAAAACCTTAAGCAAAAATGGGAAATAAAAGGATAAGTTCTCACCCTTCAAGAACACTTCAAGAACACCAACTTCAGCACCTCCTTTTGATCAAAAACCAACTCAAAACTCTGAAATTAACCCCTTAAAACCTTAGCAACAAAAGTATAGTGTAACACTAGGTAACTAAGAACAAAAACCCCTTTAGAACACTATTACACACACAACTATATAGAGAGAGGGAGATATAGAGAGAAATAGATATATAAGTTATATCTCAGAGTTGTTCAACCCCTGGAAAGGGAGGAGAGGCCCTCCTTTTATAGGAATTCAATTCCTAAGCTTCTTGGAGAAGCTAACAAATCCCTCCATACACGTGTATGGAGGGGGTGTATTGCTGGCATAAAATATCTGCCAAATGCAGATGGAAAGGAGTCGACTGGAAAATATGGCCGACTGACCAACAAAAATGGCCGGCCGACCAAAAACATTGTCGACCGACCAAAATATTTGGCCGGTAAAAAGAAAACAGGGTCGGTGGCCTCAAGCCAAGGCCGGTGAGGTGTGGGGATGGCCAACAAGCCATTCCCTGCCCTCAGAAGCAAAAGCACAAGTGTTTGGTGTACAACCAAGCACAAATCAAACAAGTTGAGAGGTCTTACGGCAAGGCGCGCAACTGAAACCTCCGAGAACTCGAGACGAACACGAACATGGATGATCACCGAGTGTTCAAACGGTGACGTCCAAGTCTTGAGGACGGCCAAAAATGGGGTGTCTACACCATTCTATAGAACTTACCTTTTAGTCTAGTAGGTATTCGTTTATCGCACAGTACCCCAGAACCACTTCTCCACTTACACCATCCCGCCTTAATCCTATAGGCCACATTCGCATCAATCTCCCCCGCTGTTGTGATAATCGACCCTAAATAACGAAAATGTTCACTCTTAGGCAATTCTTGGTTCTCAATCTTCATTTCTCCTCTGCTTTCATTGTTACTGTTACTAAATTTACACTCCGTGTACTCTGTCTTATTTCTGTTTATCCGGAAACCTTTAGACTCAAGAACTTTTCTCCAAATCTCCAACTTTGTACTAACTCCTTCTCTAGTCTTATCTACTAGCACGATATCATCTGCAAAAAGCATACACCGTGGCACGTCATCCTGAATATTTCTCGTCAACTCATCCATAACTAAAGCAAAAAGATAAGGACTTAAGGTAGATCATTGGTGTAGCCCAATAGTGATAGGAAATTCGTTTGTCTCTCCAACAGGCAATCTAATAGTCATCACCACTACTTCATACATGTCCCTAATCACATCAATGTAACCTTTTGTCACCCATTTCTTCTCTAACACCCACCATATTATATCTCGGAGCACTCTATCGTATGCTTTCTCAAGGTTGATAAATACCATATGAATGTCTCTTTTCTTTTCTCTATACTTTTCTATTACTCTCCTCAAAAGATAAATCGCTTCCATTGTTGACCTGCCGAGCATAAACCCAAATTGATTCTCTGACACCTCTGTTATATCTCGCAATCGGCGTTCCATCACCCTCTCCCACAATTTCATTATATGGAAAATTAGCTTGATTCCTCTATAGTTGTTGCAATTCTGGACATCTCCTTTATTCTTATATATTGGCACTAAAATACTCTTCCTCCACTCATTTGGCATATTCCTAGTCAACAAAATTTTTCTAAACAACCTAGTCAACCAAGCAACCTCCTTTTTACCCAAGCACTTCCAAGCTTCAATAGGGATATCATCGGGTCCTAAAGATTTATTTGATTTCATATTCTTAAGTGCAATCTCCACTTTAATGTTCCTAATCCTACGATAAAACTTATAGTCTTGGTTTATTATATTACTAGCCATTTCTTCCCTTATTGTCGTACATCCATGTACCTCATTTAATAGTTTCTCAAAATAGTTATTTCATCTTTCCTTAATCTCTTCATCATTCACCAATACCTTAGAATCTTCACTCTTGATGCACTTAACTTGATTAAAATCTCTTGTTTTCCTCTCTCGTATCTTAGCAAGTTTGTATGCCCTTTTCTCTCTTTCTTTACTATCTAGTCTAGTGTATAGGTCATCATAAGCTTTCAACTTAGCCTCTCTCACTACTTTTTTGACCTCCTTATTAGCTAATCTATAGCTCTTAAGGTTTTCCTCAGTTCTATCATTCTGCCACTTTTTAAAGCACTCTTTATTTGCCTTAACTACCGCTTGAACCTCTTCCCTCCACCACCAAGTTTCCCTAGCGCTAGGCCCCGTCCCTTTCGACTCTCCAAGCACTTCCCTTGAGATTCTCCTCATACAATTGGCCATCGAGTTCCACATAGTGTTAGCATCATCTTTCAAGTCCCAAGTACCTTCCTTATCTATTCTATTCTTAAACATTTCTAGTTTATCCCCTTTTAGATCCCACCATCTCGTCCTACAACACCCACCATCCTTCTTAACTTGGTATTGCCCTCTAAAACATAAATCTAGTACCAAAATCCTATGTTGAGATGTCAAGCTCTCTCCAGGAATCACTTTACAATCATTATATTTTAGGCAGTCCACTTTTCTCACTAAGAAGTAATTTATTTGGCTCTTAACTGACCCACTCTTAAAAGTTATGAAATGCTTCTACTTCTTCTTATACATAGTATTAGCCACCACCAAGTCAGAAGCCAACGCAAAATCTAAGATACTCTCTCCAGCCTCATTTCTGTCACCAAAACCGTATCTACCATGCACCCTTTCATAGCTTAGTTTATCTATGCCTACATGGCCATTAAAATCTCCATCTATAACCAGGTTCTCTCCTGCGGGCATCTCCTATAAGATCTCATCTATTTGCTCCCAAAAATACCTCTTAGTCTGATCATCTAATCCTACTTGAGGGGCGTATGCACTAATAACGTTCACTATATTCCCTCCAATAACTAGTTTAACTAACATAATCCTATCCCCTTTCCTAATGACCGCTACTACATTCTCCACCAGACCCTTCGCAATTATGATTCCTACTCCATTCCTGCGTCTATCCTTACCACTATAATACAGTTTAAAATCAGTATCCTCAATTTCCCTAACTTTCTTACACGTCCACTTAGTTTCTTGTACGCAAGTTATACTAACTCTTCTCCTAATCATAACATCTACCAATTTCATCGTCTTACCAGTTAAGGTTTCTATATTCCAAGTGGCTACCCTAAACCTATAGTCTTGGACTAGCTTCTTAACTCGTGCTCGTCTAAAAAAACGCAAATACCTTTACCCATTTTTCATCGCACCTAGACGTCGATGCGACGCCCCTTGCTCACTTTTCGAAACACCCGGAGGCAAGCGCAACGCGTTACTTGAGGGTAACAACCTAGCATTTAAACGATTCAAAGTAGGATTCATTTTCACAAGGGATCCAAACTATTTTTTTACGTGTTGGTTGTCGGCTACCTAACACACAACCCTCCTTCTTAGAATTATATTATTTCAATTAAGATGCTAACAAAGAAAGAGGAAAACTAAACCAATCAATATGATATGCCTTATGTAGGCTTTGCTTAGAATATTGTTTTAAATAACTGAATGCAAAGAAACACCAACACTTCTAAGAAACTCATGGGACTGTTCTTAACCTTTGTCAGACACACCTCAAAACAGGTCCCCACCATTTTAAAAAAAATTCTAGAATCGCACACGTTTTAGATATTTGGAGAACATGTGCACATTGCTTGGGCACTCATGCAATACAATACAAGTTCGAATAAAAAATAACTTGAAATCTAATGGTAAAAGAAAAACAATGTAAAATTATAACTATTCTCATTATTTAAAGTTTAGAAAGTAGTTTTACATAGCATTTTGTCATTGACTTTGAATTAAATACATTATACGTGACATACAACAAGTGCTTATCCTTATATATGACATAATAAATATATGCATTATATGTTTTGTGAGTGTCCCCTATGTGTCATGCCCTATATTTTTAAAAATTTACGTGTCATCGTGTCTATGTCGTGTCATGTGTCCGTGCTTCTTAGGTTAAATGGTTAGCTATTATCATATTTTAGCAATGAATAACAACAAAATACTTCATTTTAGCGATGTTGCTCCAACACAGCATATGTTATTTCTTCTATTTTTCTCACAAATGCAAAATTGAAATGCTGTATGTGGGTCCAACAAATAAGAGATGTAAGAGACAAGGAGACTTGCTAAAATTTACCTATAGCTAAACCTTTTCGCACAATGTATAGCAATGCTAAAATATAGCATCTTGTATAGCCAGCATTGGAGAGCAAAAAGTTTTCCGGCCATTTTTTAGCAATAGCATAGGTTGTTGATTCCAATGGAAAATTCCATCAAAAGGAAACTCAAGGTAGAACAACCGCTATAGAGGCTAAATATTTAAAATATATAATCATCTGTTGTGTAACATACCCTCTTTGGCAAAATAATAGTGAAACAGGTTCACACGTAGAGTAATTGCACTAGAAATGTGAGCCACATAGAATTAATTATAAACAATCCAAAAGGAAAAAATAAAAATAATAAGAGAAGTAAAAACAAGCCCACATCTTTTGTATGTGAAAATATTTCAATTCCTTAATCTATGAGAGTGGTTTCTCACCAAGCCCATAACATTCAAGTCTAAAACGAAGTATATTAGACTGACCAAATCACATATAAAATACAAGCAACCACGCAAATCCATCAAGGTCATTCGGAACATATTATTAAATAAAATAATCAGTAACTTCCAAATATGTTCTCAATACGAGTATAAAATTCTATAAACATGAAAATTTACATAGAGAATCAGATTAAAAATACCCCAACAAGCAAAAGATTAGGGATAATACTGTTACTAGTTCACTAATACTATCAATCTTTCCTTAGCCAGTGTCAGCTAACCATTTGATCAAACAGTTGATCTGCGTTCGAACCGGGTGCCGGGGTCATCACTGCAAGGAACAACCTCAAGACCAGTGACCATCGCAGCCGGCGGGCCCCTCCGACACCGATTCTCCATCTCCTGAACCTTATCAGGACTCCCAGAGAACAGTGCCTCCACTGACCCATCCCTCCGGTTCCTAACCCAACCCTTCAAACCCAACTCAGTCGCATTTTCCACTGTCCAGTTCCTATAGAACACTCCCTGAACCCTCCCCTTCACCACCACTCTTACCTGCACAATCCCACAAAAACCCAAAATCACTTTCAAAGATTCAAAACATCAACAATCAAATAAACCCATAAAGAATTGAGTATATAGAGATTGGAAACATCAACAATCAAATAAACCCATAAAAAATTGAGTATAGAGAGGATAAAATCATCAACAATCAAATCAACCCATAAAGAATTGAATAAACCCATAAAGAATTAAGTGCAGAGAGATTGAAAACATCAACAATCAAATAAACCAATAAAGAATCAAATAAACCCATAAAGAATTGAGTGCAGAGAGATTGAAAATATCAACAATCAAGCAAACCCATAAAGAATTGAATATAGAGAGATTGAAAACATGAACAATCAAACAAACCCATGAAGAATTGACTTACGGTTTTAGTGTTGGAGGGGTTGGAATCGGCTAAGGAGGACATAGGAGTTGAGAAGAGAGGTGAACGAGGTTGAAGCAAAGGAGGTAAAGGAGGACAAGAAAGAAGATTACGATGGCGAATTTGAGGAGAAAGATGACGAAGATGAAGATGATGAGGTAGTATAAGAAGACGAATACAAATGAGTCGTCGTGTCTCTGGTATTGGTACACTACTACTGGCATTTTTGGTTCTTCTTGTGGTGCTCCATATTCGTGGATTTTTACAAACTATATGGGATTTGAAGATCGAGTGAGCAAATGGTGGAACTGTAGTTGATGTTGATGATGCCATTGGGATCGAATCGATTGGATCAAAAGAAAAAGTTGATGTGTTGCTGCCAACTAACGTTGAATGTTCAGTTTTCTTGATTGTTCTGGATGCTTGGGACTAGGGACACTAGCATTTTTTTTTTTCTTTTGTTTTCTTTTCTTTTGGTAATGCGTTGTACTAATAGGCACAAAAATAAAAAATGAAAAATTATAAAATTATGAATTGTGATTTGTGATTTAAAAAATTATAAATATTTTATTATTAAATTTTTTTTATTTAATAAAATTAATTTTAAAATAAAATTTTTAATTGTTCTCTTATATAATAATAAAATTATTTAAATTATTAATTAAAATAAAATTTTAATATTAGTAAAAATTATTAAGTAATTTTTTGTTTTAAATAAACATTAAGAGATGTATTTTTAATTTATTTAATAAAAAAATAAAAATATAATTACAATAATTTTTTTAAAATTATAACTAATTTACACTTTGCACTTAAACTTTAAAACACAAGAATTAATCAATGTCAATGCTGACTCTGCCTGTCGTCTCCTGTCATCCTCCCTGACTTTTCTCTCTTAGGCAATGTATCCAAATATTTTGAAAATTTTACTAGCCTTCGTGTGAGAAGTGGGTTGATTTTTTAATTTTTTTGACTGTATGAGTCTGGACTCAAAAACTTAGTTTGGGAAGAGCTTTTGGCTTTTTGGCTTTTTTAATTTTTTTATGAGAGAAGAGTGTAATGATTATGGGGTTGGATGGGATGTTTTGTCTGTTGTGCCTTATGAGCCTATTATGTCTTTTATGGCTGATTGAGCCAAAAAAACTCAATGAGCCCTTAACAAACCAACCCTAAAATTATACACAATAGGATGTACAAATTATATCCATATTGTCTACTATAAAAAATTAAAGGTTAATTGCAGTAAACTACCTTTAATTATAATCATTTTTCACATTGCCACCTTAATGTTTAAAACTTGACAATTAATCTCCTCAAAATATGTAAATACCCGGTGTAGTTGACGCTGTTAACAGAATTAAGGTTCACTTTTGACCTTCCACTGTTACTATACCTTTGTCTTCCTTAATCCAACTTTGCTCGATCCAACCCAATCTCTCTCCTCCTATTCGAAGTCTAATGCTGTTAGTGGATTTTTTTTGTTGGATTTGCACATAAAATGTGACATTTGGGTGATGCACGTATGGTATTTGAGCAAATGCGTGAAAGAGATGTAAGTTTAGTTTGGCGAACAATTTTGGTTAGAAAATAATTATTTTTTGATTATTTTAATGTAAAATTAAAGTGAGTCCAAACAATCAGTTAATGTGAGTTCAAGTGGATCTAAATTCTTTATAATGAGAGTTTTATATCACAAAAAAGAAGATAAAAAAATCATTGAGAATTGAATGAGAAATAATCTCATAAAGTTGGCTTTATGAATGAAGTATTATGTAACTCACCTATCCCACATTAATTATAGAATAAAGTATTGATAGGTATTTAAATTCTTAATTTCGTCTAAGGGTGTGAGTCCTCTGGAGCATCCAAATTTTCCGAAAGAAGAGAATTATGGATACTTTCAAGGATAGACATGGGCTAAGATTATGATCAAAGTTAGTTATGCGAAAAATGCCACACACGCATCGCCTGCTCGGGCCAAGTCCTTTGTCCTTGAGGGACTAGATAAGATTTGGGTTTGGGCCAGGTTGGTGGCCCACCAACTTTAATATTTTTCTAACTTAGGACAGATGATGGTGGCTACTGCAAATATACACAGGTGTATATAGAATTTGTAACCTCTATACTTGTGGTGATTTTATTCCATTAGTTTTGCAAATTTAATTCTGCATTTTGTGCTAGCCTTCATGGCTAAAGACTCCTCATCTCTTCCCTATTGTGTATAAATAGAGACCATCCTCTCTTGGGTTTCTCATCCAAAAAATTTCTCTTACTCTCTTGTTATTCTATCAGTTTGCCTATAATGTTCTTCATAGTGTGAGAGAGTGTTACTATTGTTTTGTTCGTCGGAACTATCAGTAGGTGTCCCTATAGTAGCTAGTTTTATCCGTCGTATTTTGGAAGACAGACGCCAACGTTCCTCCAGCACCCATTGGTGAAATGATGAATCTATGTTAAAGAAACTGTGTAATTACAGGCTTCAGTGTGTTGTCTTTTCTGGTTTTGTTAAATTCTAATTCCTGAAATTATTTGCTTTATTTTCATCCTCTATTCATGAAGTTGTTATTTTCAGTGTTTTTACTTTTATTATTTCTGCTTTATATTTCAATAAATAAATCCAAATCTGTTTCATTTTTATTTAGATACTCCTTTTTATACAACAAGTTTACTGGACATATATTTAGCTGCTTTTTTTTTTTTTTTTTTTTTTTTTTTTTTTTTTTTTTTTTTTTTTGTGGGCACCTTGGTGTAGTAACTTTTCTTCCATGGCCTTCCTAGAACCAGTATATTCCCTAGAGGAAAAGCTCTCCCCTTGCAAGTTGGTTGGATTTAAAGCAAAAGAATCTTGAAGTCTCCACTTAAAAGCTTGAACATGACAGAATGAAAAGAAAACATTCTGTAAGTCTGCCTTATATCCTACGTGGTATACCCTTTCAATCTTACTAATCATGTAACTACTGTTTTTTATTTTTTCTTATATGTTTCAGATAAAACAATTATGGGCACATAGTCATGTGGTCGGACAGACATACCATATAATTTCTCCAAAATGAGAAGTTATTTCCTTAATACAACTCAAACACAATTTTCCTTCATGGCACTGGAGTGTTAGATTTTTGCAATGGCCATCCATACGTTTGTTGGTTTTAATAAGTCAATGTTGGTCTTGGGTTGGAGAGAGCCATTGATGATATCTAGAAAGGGAAGTGAAGGGAAAAATATATATATGTATATATATATATATATAAAGTATGAGGGTTTTTGAATTTTCAATATATTTTTGTCCTATTAAGATATTTGGATGGCTCAGATTTGTTCATACTATAAAGCAATGGCTAAAATGTATTTTTCAAAAGATGTCCTATGTATACATTTTTTACTTTTCTGCTTCCCTCTCTTACTTTTTCTTTTTCTCACTCATCCTCCCATAATGCCATGAATGATCCCATAATCTCACATTCCTCGCTATTTTATTTTTATTTTTTTGATTTCCTCCCCTTTTTAATTTTTCTCCCTATTTGTTCACTTATTTTTATTTATACCATACTTTTAAGTACGGACATACTGAGAATTAGGCCCATGATAGATCCATGAAAGGTGGCTTGGGTTTGGCTTTCATGTTTCAATGGGTTTAATAGGTTCAATGGGTTTAATGCTTTCGGCTGCTATTCAATGTCGTGGAGGGTGTGAAGATAATATCTACTGGATTCGAAAAGTCTGTCTCTCAAATTTTGAGTCGGATCAAAATCATACAATTTAAGACGACTAGTCGCGCATAAAAATTAGAAAAATGATTTTTCTCCCCAAAAATCATTCCCCGAATCTCCCGTTTTTTTTTTGTTCTCTTGTTTACATCTGAAGAGGGGGAAGGCAAGAGAGAGATAGGGAGAAAGAGAGAGGAGAGGAGAGGAGAGAGGGAGAGAAGAAGAGAGGAGAAAAGAAAGAGGAGAGGAGAGAGGGAGAGAAGAAGAGAGGAGAAGAGAAATAGGAGGGGAAGGGGGAATGGAGAGAGAGAGAGAGAGAGAGAGGCCCCTCCGCCTCTGCCGATAGCCCGGCCGATCGTCGCAGCTCGTTGCAAATCGCCCCGCCTCGGCCCCGCCTCCGCCTCCGCCTCCATCGCCGATCACCGCGCCTCAGCCCCAGCCCGATTTTGTTTTTTTTTTTTTTTTATGGATTTGAAATGGTTGACGATGTTGATGAGGAAGATGAATGGTTGATGGCCTCTCAAGTTCTTCTTCTTCCTTCTCTTCTTCTTCTTCTTCTTCATTTTTCTTCATTCTCTTCTTTTTCTTCTTCTTCTTCCTTCTTCTTTTCTGATTTTCTTCTTCTGAAAAAAATAAAATAAAATAAAATAAAATAAATAAATCAAAACAACGAAAACGACGTCGTTTTGATTTCGAGGGGATTCGAGGAAGGGCAGATTCGAGTTACATAGCATTACTGTAATAATAATAATAATAATAAATACATGTGACAACAGTGATGTGGGTGAGAGGGAGATATGGAAAGTAGGCTATCAAGGTTAAAATGGGGATTTGGGCAAAGTTATTATCATCAACAACAATATCGATTAAGTTAATAAACAGTGGATTGACAAAAGAGTTCATTTGTTACCTAAGGGTAAAGTGATTTCGAAGGTTAATGTGATTTCAAAAAATAAAGCGGTGATAATGTGATTTCAGAAGTATAAAGGTGTGTCAGTGTAATTTACCCATATTTTATCAAAAGAATTACTAAACACTCATATAGATGTGGGTCTTACATAAAATGATTACTGTATGAGCGGGACCCACACCCACATGAATGTATACAAAATGTTAGGGATACAAAATGTTTTACCAGAAAAATTACTAAACATTCACATGGGTGTGGGTCTCATCCATATGTGGGACCTACACCTATGAGTTAGGTATGCAAAATGTTAGAGATACAAAATGTTTTACCAAGAAAATTAACAAACACTGACATGGATGTAGGTCCCGCATATGTGAGTGTTACATATATATTGGTATACAAAATATTTTGTATCTCTAACATTGCTTTTCCATATATATGTCTCTCACGATGGTCTCCACTCTCAACAAAAGCCATTTCTTTCTCTCTCAAATTTCTTTCATCCAAGCCATTTCTTCCTCTCACCATGGTCTCTTTCTCTCAAACCTATATTTCTATTTTTCATCCAAACCCACCATATAACTTAAAAGTGTATTTAAAACCAAGATTTCTTTCTTTCTCAAACTCAAATTTCTCTCTTTCTCAAACCCAATGTCGCATACCATGCCCATCATTACGTCATCGACAATATAGATCACGATATGAGTTTCAAAGCTCTCAATCTGGGTATTGGAAACCATGATTTGGCTCTCAAAGCTTGATTAAGATCGAATTATGCAAAATTGAGGCTGTTAATTAGAATCTCTTAACTTTACTTGCTTGTCAAACTATATATTTTATGTATGTTTAA